GGTCTTGTTGAACCTCATACAGTTCGTCTGGGTCCGTCAATCCAGCCTGTCCAGATCAATGAAATGCAGTTGTTTTCTAGGAAGAACTTGAGAAAACTTAATAGCCCTGAACAGGTAGCCCTGTGGAGCGCTTCTAAAGACCGCATGATGCCCAGCTGCTGAGCAGTGCATAGAGATGGAGAGTTGCAAGGCTGAGCTTGGGGGTTGCCTTTTCTTGCACAGGCTTCAGTAATACTGACGGGCATAAACCAGGGCTGAGGCTGGGGTCTGGGAAGCAGCACGGTGCTGCAACGCATGCCCAGAGGCAGTGGGTTGTCTGCTCGCTGCCAGGGCTGGCCGACCCCTCTGCATTCTTTACTGCTGTTGTACACAATGTATGCTGAGCCTGATGCTCGCTGCCTGCCACCCCTGCTCTGAGATGCTGGGCTCTGTGGATCTGAGAGGTGACCGCAGTCATCCGAGCACCACCACCAACTTCCTTACATTTGTGATTTTTCTTCTCTGCGCAGTGGGGCCCTGTGCGTTGGAGTACACGAAGATGAAGACCGCTGACCACTTCTGGACAGACCCCTCAGCTGACGAGCTGGTTCAGAGGCACCGGATCCACAGCTCGCACTGTCGCCAGGACTCGCCCACCAAGCGCCCTGCGCTCTGCGTGAGTGTGGGAGGGAGAGCCCCTCGCAGCATTCCTCGTGGGTGCGTGGCCAGCGCTCACCAGGGCTGGAGGCTCCCTTTGTTTGAAAAGGGCTGTGAAGCCCTCTGATGAGAGAAGGTACAAAAGCATAGTTAACTTGAAGTCTTCAAGCCAGAAATGCTGGGAACGTGGGCCGTGGAGACTGCGAGCGGGCTGCACCAACACGGCACTACATCATGGGGTCTCTGCCTTTTGAGAACATCATAGGCGAACGAAAAGCAAAGGCAGCTGAAGTCTGCTCTGTTTATTGCAAACAAAGCACACTCCTGGGGCTTCTCTAAGTACAGAATCGAGCTTGGCCAGAGCCAGGAATCCTCTTAGAGGACACAGAGGGAAAGATTTCTAGTAGTGCCTTTCTTAAGTATGTAATTGAGGAGGGAATGAGCTTCAGGAGAAGCTTTTTGAAAGCAAGAGCGATCTGTGCTTACCTCACGTTTGTAGGTGGATCTCTTCCAGATTCAGAAAAGGCATTCGAGTGGCAGTATGGATGACCGGCCGTCGCTGTCTGCCAGGGACTACGTGGAGTCGCTGCACCAGAATTCCCGAGCCACGCTCCTCTACGGCAAGAACAACGTCCTGGTGCAGCCGGTAAGTACCTGCTGGGGCATCTGGGCTTTCCAATCCTGCTCTGCTCCCCATCAGGTGACTGTATCCCAGGTTGCTCTTTGGAGAAAAGCACAAACTCATTTTTAATCTGGGAAGGCAGTGAGCGGGCTGTGTTTGTTGAGGTCCTGTTGATATGGATCCTCCCAGTGGAATGGAAGAGCTCTGCCTCTGTCGGAGTGCAAACAGGCTCCTTTCCCTGCCCGCTCTTGACAGGCCTCTTTGAGGCCACAAAACGCCTCTTCCTGTCCCTTCATGCTTACTGTGGTCAAATAAATGAAGTGCAAACTGCTTAGGTGGAGCTGTTAAGTTTACCTCAGCCAGTCAGCTGCCCTTTCCCAAGCTGGTGAGGTGTCCTGTTGTCTCTGCTGGGAGGTTTTGGAGGGCCACGGTGGGTTTGTCACTGTTGGTGAGCGGCTGGGCTCAGGGGCAGCAGGCAGGGCTGTGTTACGGTCCAGGGCTGTGCTCCAGGGCATGGTTCAGCCTTGGGTAGCATGAGGTGGTGCGTCATCCTTCTGGCATCTTCCAACCTACTCTCACCAGCTCACCCTCTCCCTGTGTTTCTCTTCTCAAGCGAGATGACATGGAGGCAATCCCGGGATATTTATCCCTTCACCAGACTGCCGACATCATGGCACTGAAGTGGACTCCCAACCAGCTGATGAACGGCTCTGTGGGGGATCTGGACTATGAGAAGAGGTGACTGGCTCTGAGTGTGCCCTGGCACGGGGCAGAGGGGAGTCAAATGTTCCCCGAGTTCAGACTTTGGATCTGGTGTTCAAGGCCATCAGTGAGTTTTCCCACTGACTGCAGAGCAGAACAATCATCCCCGAGTCTGTAACAGGAGGAAGGATGGGGAAGGAGGCCGGAGATGGTGGGAGAGGTGGACTGTGGGAGATGGTGTGAGGTGCTGTAGTATTGCCTCGAGGGTGCTTGTTCTGAAAGACGTGAAGTGGTTTCATTTATTGCCCTCGGGGATTTCCTCAGGAGAATGCCCTCTACCCACTACACAGTGCTTCTGGGTTTATCGGGGTTATTTTAATCTGGGGAAGAGATGAGCTCATGGACAGGGGAAGAGTATGTGCAGAGAGAGGGAACAGGAGCAGTTCCCAGACAATTGTACCTCGCTAACCGAGCGAGTACCATTTCGTAGTGCTGTCTCGCTGCAGTCTGCAGCTGATCCTACATGCCGGTATTCAGAGTCCCTTGGATTTAACGGAGTCCCTGGAGCTTGTTCCTCCAGGGGCCTGAAGTCTGCGTAGTTTTCTTGGCAGGGTATACTACCATGCCCTTTTGCCTGGGATTCACGTATGGATCGCTGGCATTTCTCTTGATAGCTGCAATCCTTTTAACAAACTACAGAATCATGCCAGGTCCCGCTTTGCCTGAGAAGTGAAACAAAGCAAACAAAATCCCTTTCCACCAGCGAACGCTCCAGGAAAGCTGCAGTGTTTAGGACGCTGATTCTTTGACCTAGGGTAAAGACCTTCCTCAGCCAAACTTGTTCTCAGTTTTATTTATTCTCAATTGTAGTTTTTTGGGGTTTGTTTACCTATGTTCTTTTCGTCTCCCCTTTCTTCTTGGCCCCTGGCCATTCCGTTATGCCTGGTACCCTCCCCCTAAAATCAATTTTCATCTCTACGCTACTTTTCTGAGTTCTTGACTTGGGCATCAGCCTAAGCTCTAAAACTTCCCAGTGTCAAGACGTGACCAAGGAAGAGAGGAGTCAAATGACAAAGTAAGTATGAATCTACAAGGAGTGACTCTTACAAGCCCCTTCCTCTCCTTAACTGTCATCGTGAGCCATTTTATAACACCTTTATTTTAAGCGCTGTGGTTGTGAAGCGGCAGATAATGCTGCTCAGAATGTGGAAATTTGCTTTGTTGCAAAGAAATAGGATGTTATTAAATGCTGACACCTTCAGAGAGCAGTGCTTTTGCTAGACTCTCCACAGAAATGAAACCCTGCATGAAGCCACATGTCTCCTGGAGACATCCCCTTCCCTGCCTTCCTCCTGGCATCCCTCTGGTCCTCTGCCCTGCCTGGTGACCAGCAGCTCCCCAGCATTTCCTAGATTTGCACAGTCACCTCAAGGTCCCTGTGCTGATGGAGCGCAGTTCTTGAACAGAAGCAACTGAGACCAAATCTATTTTCAGCTTGGGGAAAAAAAACCCACAACACAAATTGTGAAGGTTTATTTCCCCCTCCCTTGGGGACACGAGCCCAGGCTCAAACTGCACTGCACTTTCTCTTGGGGCCCCAGGGCTGCTCCTGCCAGGTTGATGGGATTCTCCCAGCCCGGCAGCAGGGCAAGGAGTCCTTTCCAGGGTGCCCAGAGGAGAGTCCTCAGCTCTGCGGGGCTCCAGATCCCTCCCTGCAATTGCCAGGATCCATGGGCATGTTGTCCATGTCTGGGAGCAATGTGAGGGTAGAGAACCAGTCCAGGGCAGGTGAGACTGGACTTGCCCTGCCTGAGCTATGATGACAGGGACAGTTACTGGTTCTGGAGGGATGTTGTCACTTACTCAGGCTGGCTTTGTGGCAGTCGCACTGCTGCTGGGACCTCATCCTTTCTGTCGCTTCTCCTGGCACCAGGGTGGCTGGAGGCAGGATCTGGAGCTGATGAGAACAGCAGCAGAGCCTTGTTGCATCCTTGAAGCTCACAACTTCCTCTCTTTGTTCCAGCGTGTACTGGGACTACGCCATGACTATTCGCCTGGAGGAGATCGTCTATTTACACTGTCACCAGCAAGGTAAGGCCAGAGTGAGGGGCTGCTGGAGGGTGCCATCGCCCTGACGTTTGCATCGTTAGATCTTTGGGGAGTGCCCCCGCGGGGATGTTTTGATTCAGCTCCAGGGCAGATGAACAGAGCTCTGGGTGGTCACTGCTGTGTAAGTGCTTCTAGGAAAACCTTTAAACCAGCTCCTGGCTGTGGTGCGTGGCTGGGGAGCGCTCCCTGCAGAGCAACGCTCTGGTTTTCAACAGTGTGATCTCCCAGGAAAGCCTTCTCCAGGGCCCCAGACTTGTAATGGACTTACAGAAGAATCCAAACAAGGAAGAAATTCTTTCTTCTCCATATCAGAAAGACAAGTCCCTGAGCTTTCTTGCCTATCCTCTGCATTTTTGACTGGTAATGTTTCCCTCATTCATGTGTGTGTCTTCTCTCTGCTGTCACTGTTGCTAATAGTAGACAGCGGTGGAACGGTTGTCTTGGTGAGCCAGGATGGGATTCAGAGGCCTCCGCTGCGTTTCCCCAGAGGAGGGCACTTACTGCAGTTCCTGTCCTGCCTGGAGAATGGCCTCCTGCCCCATGGGCAGCTGGATCCACCCCTCTGGTCGCAGCGGGGAAAGGTAGGCACCCCGAAACTGGGCTTGTTCTTCAGCCCATGGCACTGCAGGTTCTGGCTGGTGTTCCCTCGTGGAGTGTCTCAGAGCAGAGCTGATGGGGAGGACCCTCTGCCTGACGTTAGTGGCTGCTGTCTTTTAAACAATCCTCCTCCTTGAAACTAAGGAGGAAGGTGGGCTTGAAATATGGCGATTTGGTTTAGCTCATGGCCTTGACCGGCTAAACAGGCCCTTCTGGGCAAATCAGAAGGGAGGTGGTATGGGAGTGCCGGCCATGAGGCATGGTAGGTTTGATTCTCATGGACCTGGCCATGCTGCGTGGGTTACACACACCCCCCCCGTGCACCAGCAGGGTTATATATTCACCGTGTAATTGAGAGCTTAATCCAAAGGCTACTTGAGCACAGGGAATGCGCAAACATCATCTGGGATAACAAAGCACATGCTTTTGTTGGGCAGGAGTTTGGCAAGCGAGGCAGCAGCCACACTCGCCCGCATGGTCGAGCATGGGGTGGCTTGTGAAGAGCAGGTTTTGTTCACCTAGGGGAAGGTGTTTCCCAAGCTGAGGAAGCGAAGTCCCCAGGGCTCCTCTGAGTCTGCATCCGACAAGGAAGATGACGAAGCCACAGATTACGTTTTCAGAATAATCTACCCAGGGACACAGTCTGAATTTGGTGAGTGCGTTGGCAGAGAGTGTTTCAGGTGGGTTATCATGGGGTGTGTGAGCAGCCGGGGACGCAGCACGGACAGGCACGTGGCAAATCGTGCCAGGAAGTGATTCCAGAGAAATGAGCTTTGCTTCTGACAGTACTGCCTTTTATTCAACATCATGTATGGGTTGGGGTTTTGTTTTTTTGTTTTAACCTTTTGCTTGCTACTGAGTCCTTCGTTTCTGCATCTGCATAACAGGCCATGGCTGCCTTAATGGTCAGAAAAAAAATTCTTGCACGTAATTTCAGTAGTAAGATTCACATTGGCCATGTGCCTTGGGGGTTGCTTTTCACCATCACAAGCTTCCAGGGCTGATTCTGCTCTTGCTATTGCCAGGCCAACTTGGCAAGTGCTGCATTAAATCCAGCTATGTTCCTTCAGCATTGCTTCTGCAGCGCAAAGGAGAGGTTACAGCACCCTGCTCTGTGTACTGCCAGGCTTGACCCATATGTCTTCATTCCCTGGCTCACAGGGAGAGGAGAGGATGCTGCTGGATTCACCAAACCAGAAATCTCCTTTAATGTCTGGTTGTGAATGATCTGAACAACGTGCTTGGCTGAAGTGACTGTACATTTGTCCTTGCTTTTCTGTGGGATACCAAAAACAATTTTTTGACATTGTAGGGGAACACTGTAGATGACTTTATAGGGAGGAGACCAAGAGTATAATGGAAGATGTGTAGAGTAGGGGTTTTTTTTTTTGAAAAAAAGCTATGAAATTTGATCAAAAACTTGTTCCTATGTTTTTGAGGCTAGAAGGGGGCAACCACATCTCCTGTGACTCCTCCATAACATCAGTTAAGAGTATACTTAGTTCTCCCTGCCTTTAGCTGACTAACACAGTTCAGTGAGTCAGATAAAAATCTGATTGAGGCTAAAATAGTGGATAGAGATGCTCCTTTCTGTAGCTTCCTTTTAATCTATCCCTTAAAATTCCATGCTGGGGGCCAAATTTTCTGTGAAATGAATTGCTGCAGTCTCCTCAGCTGGCATCATCAAAGTCTGTGTGGTTCCTGCGGACCTTCCCAGAGGGGGTAGAACTGCATCAGTTCTTTCTTCTCTACAAATTCTTCCTTTCTCCCCTTTCTGTGTCTCTAGTTACCATTAATGGTAATTTTCATCCATTCCTTGCGTCTGTGATCTCCGCCACTGCTATGAGAGGGAAGACTGCAAGGACTCCAGCTGCAAGCAAGATGGTGGTGATCCCTAAATGGTTTCCAAGTCTCCCCATCATGTCTGGAGCTCCTCTTGCCTCTCTGGGGGCCACTCAGCATGAGTGTAATGCGGCTGTCGTTTGAGTCTGGTACTAATGCTTGCCTGTGTTGTCACTTGACAGTTCCTGCAGAGGTGTCCCCTGTCATTGCTGACTGTCACTGACCCATCAGCACTTGCTCCGTAT